CAAATGTTTTCTTTCTTAACTATATATGTTCTCTTGACGCTGACAGTCCACTCTTATGGACTACAATGACTCTCTACTTGCTTCTCAATGTTCATGGTAAGTTATTCATATTGTGTGTGTGTATATATATATATATGTATGTATGTATGTATGTATGTATGTATGTATGTCTCTTTCTTCTTTCTTCTTTTAGGTAATTAACTGAGTTTGCCTTTTCTTTGTTTCAGGATGGGAAGCTATGTTTGTGCTATCCATACTTCCTCTAATTGTAAGTATTCTTTAATATAGATGATTTCATTAAAATATTCATCCTTGCAACACAAGTAAAATATGAACTATTATTGGCACTTCAAAAAAGTTATCTCAGACAAATTGCCTTTGGATCGAGGAATATTTATGATGACTTGTTCTTTATGGGAGGTAATTGCCCTCTAAAAAGATAAAAAACTGACTAACTATTTGATTGGTTGAAGATAATCTTAGCTGTTGGAACAAAGCTGCAAGCAATTATAACACAAATGGCACTTGAAATCCAAGAAAGGCATGCTGTAGTCCAAGGAATACCTCTGGTGCAAGTCTCAGACGAGCATTTTTGGTTCGGCTGGCCTCAGTTAGTTCTTCATCTGATCCATTTTGTCCTCTTTCAGGTACATTTTGTATATGTCCTAAGTCTCTGCAAATTCTTTGTGGGTTAATTTTTCATAATAAAGATTTCTAATTTTGCATTATACTTGTGCAGAATGCATTTGAGATTACATATTTTTTCTGGATATGGGTAATAATCAAGCTAATCGCCCCTTTCTGTATTTTGGTTGTTTGTATATATATATTATATTATATTATATATGTCACCAACGACATTCTAAATTAAAAGCTTTCTCTTGAATCCTAATGCAGTACGAGTTTGGGCTGAGATCTTGTTTCCATGATAATTTCGTTCTCACAGCACTTAGAGTTGCACTTGGGTACGTCGACCTTCTCTCTTTTTTCTTCCTCGTTTCTAATTCTACAGCGAGAATGCACCAAACGAAGAATATCCCTTGATCATAAACTTCTTGCAATACATTATATATTTAGAGTAACTCGCGCCTAACATATGCTTATATTGTTTGACTGTGAATCTAAAGAACATATTCTGGACAAACTAATTTGAAAAGAGAACATTTATCATTATCCTCAACATGTTCTATCCACGGTGCTATGGCGATATCTTATTCATTTCATGTGTAGAGCGCAGAATATCATTTGAATTAATTTATAGTGAACAAAGAGAGTATCTTTACGTATACAAAATAATGAATAATGAACGGTATGTGAGCAGGGTAGCAGTTCAGTTTATGTGCAGCTACATCACACTTCCCCTATATGCATTGGTTACGCAGGTACAATCACTAATCATTGATTCCTCTCCGTGCCGTTTTTACTTTTTTTTTATGATTCTTCATGTGGAATTCAACTTATACCAAGACGTTACAATTGCATTCGCAGATGGGGTCAACAATGAAGAAGTCGATCTTTGATGAACAAACTAACAAGGCTTTAAAGATATGGCAAAAAAATGCTGCTGCAAAGAAGGCTGGTGGGAAGTCGGTAGGTAAAGCATCTTCGGGTGGCGACTCAGTAACAAAACCACCACCAAAGGCTAAGATGGACAAAAACGCATCAACTCCTGAACAGACAGCAAACATCACGGCCAGCGTAGATATTCAAGGCAACAACACTGACCTCCTATCAGGACCGTGATTTTCGCGATTGTGGCGGTGAATGTGGGAGAAATAAAACATTGAAAAAGTTGAGGCTCCGGCAAGCAACTTAAGGCCGGCAAGAATACCAAATATCCCTATTGTTTATGAGTGACTGTGCATATAATTTGTCACATCATGACATCTTGCAAATTCTCCAAAGTTAACATGAACTTAATCTTGTACAAGTAGCAGGCCAGAACAATCCATCAGCTCAAGACTTATGTGGTGAAAAGATCCCCTTCTCTTTCTATGTAATATTATTTCTTCATTCAATGTTTTGTTTTAAAACCAAAAGTATCAATCAACTGCATTGATTTCGTGTTCTTTAAATTTTAGAGTTATTAACACAAACACCTGCAATTTGGCATGTTCTATTTTAGATCTTGTACTTTAAGAATTTACACGAATGATCCCTAATAAAGTTTTAAATATAGTAATTTAAATTGTCCGTTAGCTAGTGTTCTATGAATCATTTTCTAACATCAAGTTTAAAGAAAAAATAAACGGTCACTCACATGTCACTTTACATTGGGCAAAAAATACATTAAGAGTAGAGGATAATGTGAGACTGGCAAACTTGACTTAAGGGGGTTTAAAGTTAGAGTAATTTTCAGGAGATAAAAGTCAGATTCATACCATCATTTAAAAAATAACAAATGTTGTAAGAATGGACGTCATATGAGTCTTCACTATTCACTGAAGTCTTTTTGCACATGATGAGATATTTTTCACTATTTTACTCCAACAAGTTTGGTGTATGGTTGTGTAAGTTTGTTTATGTTTTGTTAGTGAACTTTTCTATATGAAGGGGTAACTTTGAGACCCCAAACACGATCGAAAAGCCAACTCTACTTTTTCCTTTGTGAGCACAAAGCGCAAACAATAAATCATATAAGTTTTTTTCACTCTTTTTCCTTTGTATCCATCTTCCATATTCAAAACAAGTAAAAATAGTAAGACGATGTGATATGATCTTGTTCCACTCCAACCCCAACAAAGGTTCTCTTTCGCTTTTGCCTATTTAATAAAACAAAATATTTCATCCTATATTCTTTTGCCAAATAAAGAAAGAGTGTAGTATGGGTATTATGGTAAATTGAAGAAAAATAGGATATGGATATGGTATAGAAAGGGCGGTTGAAAAAACAGGCATCCTGCTGCTGTATTTCCAACGGCCATGGCATCAGTAAGGTGCTTGACCGTTAATCAGCGTCTCAGTCGTCATCATTCTCATTCAAAAGGTGGCAGCGGCGGCAGCGGCAGCAGTACTAAAGGGCAAGTGGAACAAGTTTCAGTAGTACAAAAAGTGCTGCCCATTTCCTCGTCATTGATTTCTTGTTCAAGAAGATGTGCTGCCATTCTCATTAGTACTTGGCTGCCTATCACCCTCATTTCAGCCGCGTCTCCTCCTCCGCCTTCACTGGCGAGAGAGCGACGCAACAGGAAAATCATCCCCCTTGAAGACTACCGCACAACCCGTAAGTTACTTAGTTACTCACTTTCTCATATCTAACTGTTTCAATTTCTTAAATTTTGTTGTTGATTTTGAAGGATAATTATGTACGAAGTTGTATTTATCCATTGGTAAAATTGGTTGTATATATTTAGGTGCAATGGTCAACCCACAATTTATTCCGCACTATGAAAATTGCAAACTGAAAACAGTTACCAAACAAGTTTAACCCATCTTTGCTTGCTTGATTTCATGTTCCTTCAGCAGCTGATGGATTAAAATATTATGATTTGGTTGAGGGAAGGGGTCCCGTAGCTGAGAAAGGATCAACAGTTGAGGTACATACATGCATTTGTGTTTCTAATTTAAGTAGATTGATTGATGTTAATTTTCTTATTTAATGAAGTACCTGAATGCAGGTCCACTTTGACTGCTTGTATCGGGGGATTACAGCCGTGTCAAGCAGGGAATCTAAACTCTTGGCCGGAAATCGTAGTATCGCGCAGGTTCTCAACTCTATTCTTTGTTTTGTGGGTGTGTTGTGTGTGTTCATATCATGCACTGCCTCTTTTTGAATGAATTACCAACGCGTAATTCCTTGTTTTGTACTAGCCATACGTGTTCAAAGTTGGAGCTACTCCGGGGAAAGAACGAAAGCGTGAGTTTGTGGACAATGCCAATGGTCTATTTTCTGCACAAGCTGCACCAAAACCCCCTCAAGCAATGTACTCCGTAACTGAGGGGATGAAAGTCGGGGGAAAGGTGATGGAATCCTCCTTTAATGCTTAAATACAACATATGTGGTACTTAATCCATCTAGTTTCATCGTTTCCATGCCTTCTTTTCTCACCTTTTAACTTAGAAGACTTTTTGTCATTGTTTTCTGGTATCCTTGCAGCGAACTGTGATTGTTCCTCCAGAGGCTGGCTACGGCCAAAGGGGCATGAATGAGATCCCTGTAAGCGCCTCTAAACATCGATCATTTGTTCCGCTTATTAGTCTTGACAGTTGACTCCAAGACCTTACCCTAGGGCTAGGCATCACAACATCTATCATTCTATTATTCATTCATGAGAGCATTTTCGTACTGCAGTGCTATATCGTTATTGTTTAATACACTGCTTAACTCGAATCTTTGTTAATTTTGGACAAAATCTTCAAAAAATCTGAAGCGTTGTTTGTTTCTTAGACAGTCCTGATCGATCATGTTAAAATTTGTACTAGCTAGCTTATAGTGCTACGTACATGTGCAAGTCACTTGCTGTATATAACAAAAATGTTGAGCATACGATATGGAATTTGACAATGAATGTTTTCCACACAAATCTGCAGCCTGGTGCAACGTTTGAGCTAAATCTGGAGCTTTTGCAAGTAATTCCGCCTGACGGAAAGTGAGCCCGGCATAGGTTGATTACGGTAGTTTATTTTCGCTCGACGATCTCCCGTCTCATGTTTCGGTGGGAGGATGGGGATGAGCTGGAAGTTGAAACCGCCATCTTCAAAGAGTAGGGATAAACTTGAGAGAGACTTGTGTACGCAACGGAAAGTTTGTAAAGGTCTTATGGCTCATATCATTGAATCTGCATTTTCTGTACGTAATCTGGACGACTTTAGCAATTTGTCATTGCTGTATGAAACTGGCTCGTTTGGTTAAAATGGTAACGCAAATTTGTGTCGATTAACTGTCAAAAATAAGCTCGGTCGACTCAACCGAGCTTTGCAGAAACCTACACCTTAAAAACATGCGGACACTTCGAGTTGCTAACAGAACAACTTAGTTTGAACTTCATCATACCGAATCATTCGTGTTCTAACTTACGCGAATAAATATGATCAAGCTAAATTTAATCAAGTCCATCGCACTCGTAATACAATGCGTTTTCAAAACAAAACTACAAGCAACTAGTCTTGTGTTTCACTCACTTTAAAGTTCCGGAGAATATTATAACAAGCGCAAAATATGCCTATTTCTTATATCTCGTCAATAAAATCCAGAAGATCGTCAACCTCCTGCCTCAAGGCGGCAATTTTCTGCAGATGTGAAGCAACCCGGCTCTCGATTTCCCTTCCGCCATACTTCTTCTCATAGCAATCCACAACTGTAGAGTGTTTCACCATTAACCTTTCTTCTAAATCTTTCTCCTTCACAACTAGCTCCTCCACCTGTATGAGCAACCAAATAATAAATGCTATAATTAAAAGATGCACAGCAATACTGTGATAACGCTCTGCATGCCACGAAAACCCGGTTTAACCAGAAGTGTTCCAATTAATTCAGTGGTTGGCAGTACGTAAACAAAAAGATATTATAATTACTACTAAAAGGCGAACCAACCTTGGGTAGTATCTGTGCAGCCTGGTGAGAAGATTGCAAGAATGCCAACAAGGGCTTCATCTCTTTTGAAAGCTCTTTCAACGAACCATCAGCTGCTTTCCGAGCAGCTTTACAAGCTTGGACATCCCCTGTCCGGGAAAGATCACGTAATGATGCTTCCAGCTTATCATGTATAAGGAGGCATCGGTTGATGATATTTTGGATCTTCTGAATTGCTGCTTGCACCTAGAACAAGACAGTAATTACTGTTTTCTTATTGTAAATTATTTAAGAAAGAAATATACAAGACAAAAACTTACTTCATCCCACTGCAGTTTGGCCAAATAAGCCGGAGAAGACTTGGAGATTGACATGTCCACATGCATGTATACAATGCCAGCAATGAAAAGAAAGAAAAATCCAGAAATCAACATCAAGGGTTCAGTAAGCATTGCGAGGCTGTTGAATTTGTAATACACCTGCAAAGGAAGGATAATAAAGTTGAGAGAAAATTGAGGACAAAGTCCTAACACATGTACGGAGATTCACTTCACTCTTAATTTCAGAAAAGAAGCATGAAAAATTATTATTAGACAGTCCAACATAATACATCATGCGGAAATTACAAAATCTATGAATTAAGATCTCAACATTCACGGAAATGATATATTACTAGGAACCTCAAAAGAGTAGCAGGATAACAGTGGGAAGACAGGGAAGATGACACACTACATGATAGGCAACACAGCAGCTGACCAACATTTTTATTTTTGACAACTTTTGCTATAAAGTGGATAAATAAACTATTAAAATGTTGATTGATTATACATCCTAATTACTAAAGAGAGGGTATCAGGCACCTAAAACAGAAACTAAATCTGACAAAGATGAAGCAGAAAGCTTGAAAAATATCCGCAACTGATACCACTACAAGCATCGCTAGACACTTACAATCTCATTTAAGCAATACTGGAAACTTAAATATCACGTCTTGTTTTCTATAGACCGCTAGAAATGTACATTGGTGTCGAAAACAATCAACATTAGAAACTAAGTAAATGTAATATTTTAGCAAAACAAAAATAAAAAAAACATTCAAATTTGATGCTCTCATAGTCATCTCCTGTTTTATGAGAAAATGTAATATAGTTACCTGGAATTTCTGATTATGCTCAGGCACAGCATTAGTCTTTTCGAGTACAACCACTGGTCTCCCAACAAGATCCAAGTGGGAAAATTTTGTCTGTAAGAGTCGTACACATATTTAATCAGAAGCAAAAAAAGGAAAACGAAGCTTTTTTCCAAATAGAAAAAAAAAAAGAAAAAAGAAAGAGGCAAAAGAGAAATAATAAATTATAACTTGGTCTATAATAGCAATAATACCTCTCGCCCTTGTTTCAGAGGAAATGGAGCAGATACAGATATATCTCTAGAGCCCTCAGGTAGAACAACCTGCAGTTCACAGTCAAAAATATAAAAAAAAAATGCAGGAAATTAATTCTTTTCACATAATCTGACTCTAAATCATGCTTTTTAAACTTTCTTCTGATATACCACATCCTACACATTAAAAGGAAGTAATATGAAAGCAACTCAGTATGACTGTCTAACAAATAAGTACACAAGTTGAAGAAAAAAGAATTAAAGGGTCAAAGGACATAGTATCAATAAATCATCACATTACCAACCTTCACAATGAGGGTGTCAATGACCACCTCATTCACGGGGCAACCAAAACTAATATTAAGGACACGTTTTCCATCTGATTCAAACAGATATTCATGAAGCGGCAAGCCATATCCGATGGTAAAAGCAGTTCTCCAACCACCAAACATGGGGTATCTAGGTTCGATTTCCAGTTCTGTCTGCAATCATACATACAAGTTGAGTACAATCAGGAATAACAACTGGGAATATTAGTCCATGCGAGGTAAAAAAGTTTACCTTCTTAGAATCACTCCATAAGTTGGATGTTGAAACATTGCCTATTTCATCCCTATAGTAAACAGAATGAGCTCTTGGTGGCAATTTCGCAACAAGACGCCTAATGGCTGATTGACCTCTGACATGAGGTCTGGCTTGATAATCAAGTCTGCAGAAGAAATGAACAAAAATTAAATTTAAGCTCCCGAATGGCACAACACCAAATGACCAACAAGACAATTAAAAGTAAAAGAAAAAGGGACCTTGAGAATTCTCCCTTGCTTTGAGCACCTCCATGGACAAGCTTGTAATGCTCTGTTACTTGAATATTACCCCAATGGGAAATCTCTATCTCTCGCACCAACTCTTCAGCAACAGCAAAAGGTTGATTGCTCTCAAAATGAACAACTATAGGTGAGAAGGAAAGGGGAGAAAGATTCTCGTAAGGACCATATTTGATCTCTGAACCAACATTCTTTGTATTTTCTACTTTTGTATAAGACTCAATTCTCGCATCAGGTAATTTAACACTGAGTGTTTGCACCTTGACCGCATAAGGAGAGAGATAGTATGCGCTTTCCTGAAACACTAGGAGTTGAATGTCAGCCTGAGTAACTTTCTCTGGAAACGGCTTCAATGCATGGGTGAAAACAGCCAATACATCAAAAGTGAAGCTGTCCCCCTTGCCCAGTCCCTTTGGTAAAGCAACAGAATAAAATGTCAAGGCAGGAGGCATGTCTTTCGGATGAACGTTTTGAACTGGGTAACCAATACTAGAACCTTTCGCTTTTCCTTTGCCTTCGGTGGGGGTTGCCGTCAGATGTGCCAAAAGTTTAGCCTGCTTCTCGGGAAAGGCCAACAAAACTTCTGAAACCAAACTGCTTCCCTCATTCACCACCTGCAGAGCATGAAGGGCACACAATTCAAATTCAAGATATATGCAAACATGGTTTCTTATCTGTTATTCATTTTTTGAACAAGCAAAACTTTCCAAACATTCTTGGCGTGATTCCTACTAAACGTCGAATCGAGAATTCAAAATCTGAGAAACTAATTTCATTAAGTCTCAAATAAATTCAAGAACAATCAATCAAATGTTAACAATTCAATTAATGAAAAGGGTAGTGATGGGGCACCTTCAGCGTGGAAGTGATCCGCGCAATTTGTGATGTCAAATCAATCTGCAACCAACCAACCAACAACCAAAGCTCAATGTCAAATTCAAACACGAAGGAAGACCAAATACAACCTTAAAAAAAACAAACTTTGATGAATGAAAACTAGAACTTTCGATTTAAAACGTGAAACAATAAATGAGAAGCTGGAGATCTCCAACAACATTGATCAGACAAACAGTAAAAACACAATCCAATTCATGGAATCAGGGAGGGAGACGAGACTTACGCGTCGGTCAACCTTGGAGATGACCAGATCCGACAACACAGGCGCCCACACGACGGCGAGTACCAGCAGAAACACATCCACTCTCAAACCCATTTCTCGCATCTCTCTCTTCTCTCTCTCTCTCTCTCCCTGCAAAGCAAATGCAGCAGCTGTTCGTAGAGGCTTTGGGTTTCTTCAGTCTCCAAAGTACGATATTTCCGAGGGTGGGAGAATAGATGAAGGAATCCTCAAACCAGTTGAGCCCAACTCACTTGCACAAGGCCCAATTGGCCCAATTTTGAAGCAGAACACGTGCTGAAATCTGACGTGGCCGTCAATGATTGGGTGATGAAACGAAAAACGCACGTGATGGTCTTCTCTCCAAAATCCTAAGATAACGGGGAGGCGTAGGGAGAGTAGTGCAAGTGGGTGACTGTCCTTCTCTCTTCACTTGTCTTCTCCGCCATATCCAGCTAGGGTTTTGGGTTTTGGGTTTTGGTTTCGGATTACGGTGGTGAAATGGAGACCTCTCTGAGATATGGCGGCGATGCCAAAGCTTTGAGAATCCACGCCAAGCAGAAGCTCCCCCTCGATTCCAAAACCCACTTGCAGGTCCTCTCTTCTCCCGATTTTCTTCAATTTTTAATCTCTCTCTGTTTTGCTTTCTTGGTTGATTGCTGTGCTGTTGAAATTTTCATGCATTTTTCTGTGGTCACTAAATATTAGTAAATTTCCCAGTTTGAAGCCATTCGAGTTGTAATACCATGTTGGGGAATTCAATTCAGTGCTCAAATGCTTGACCTTTTTTTTCTGTGTGTGTCAGGTTCATGGAGAGCTAGATACTAGATTTGGAGTTCCAACATTTTTTAGAGCGGTAGTGAGGCGCTTCTACCCCGATGTATGTCAATTTTTCCAATATCCAAGTTCTGGTTACAGCAATTTATTTAGAATTGCAGCTCAAGAACAATCAAATAGAATTATCTATTTGTGCAATTTATGGCCAGGCTAGGCTAACATCGATGTTGTTCCTTTTTTGAAATTTAATCATTAATAATTGATAATTGATATGCGTGGCGAATTGGCAATGACAATGCAATCAATTGTAGTTTTCAGCAAGCCTTGGAGTGGGATTGCAATATGATAAGCGCGAGAAACTGCATTACACTGTCCGTGCGAAGAAGTCATTCCCTGTGACAACAGATGGCCTGTTCAGCTTCAATGTGAAGGGAAGATGTCATCTTGACAAAGAATTCAAAGAGGTTGGTACTAGTTCAATTGCTTTTATTTTGACCTTTGCAAACACTTGTGCGGTTGTGCCCATTTCTTATATAATTGCTGAATCAAAACACACGTTCTCTTGAGACCGGCAAAATAAAATATATGCTCTCTATTCTCTATCTCTGCTCTCGAGCGTGTTTGTTATCCCTTCTTAGAGTTGGAAATTAGAACCTTTGTATGTTGATGTTGGCTCTAATTCTTCCACAGAGAAACTCCACAGGAGCTGCTGAATTTTCGTGGTGCATTTTGAACTTTCAAAAGGACCAAGATGTCCGGCTCAAACTTGGTTATGACTTGTTGGACAAGGTATTGTTACTTAGATCAAACTTGGTTATGACTTGTTGTGCCGGTCTTGTTTACGTTGTTTGAATCATTTCATATGAACTCATATATTCAACAATATATTGTTTCTTATCAATAGATCTTCTATTGAATAGATAATTACTAATATCGTAAGACAACAGCTACGAATTTTACGTTTATGCTAGAAGATTAGCATCTTCTCTTTGTATTGCACTTTTGGTGGACTGAATGAAATAATGGAGCTAATTTGATCAATATCAAATACCCATCCCTGTAGTTTAGATGAATTTAATTAATTATCCTATTGTTTGTCAAAAAACTCAGTTCCAGTTTTGAATCATTTCCTTGTAAATTGTAGTTAAAGGCGACATTGAACTTTCCACTTGGTATTTATTATTTTTCCGCCTTTTTCAGGTTCCATATATGCAGATCAGGGAAAACAATTGGACATTCAATGCCAATGGTAATGGTAAATGGAATGTGAGGTTTGACTTGTGAGAAGTGGGAACTTTTGTAGGTCAGATGTGTTGTTGCAAAACGTTGTTGTACTGTATTTACTTATAATTGGCAGGCCATTGTGCTAAAACTTAACATTGAAAAGCAAAGTGCAACATTTAGTGGTCAATTATCCGATTCTTTTGGCTTATATTTTTTATATTCATAGCTTTTGCCATACCATAGTTGCTGAAAGTTCAATTGAGTTACCATACTGGAATCCACTGATGGTCAAAGCGCTAAACCAAAGAATCGGTTCGGTCTCAACAGGGATCAGACTGTATTTCGGACCGATTAGGTTGGGATTCGGCTGAGAGTTTCAATTTGGTGCAGGCAACTCAACCGGATTGTGAGTTTGGGCTAGGATTGAAAATTTGATTTGTAGCTGTATCCTAGGAAATAGAATGGTCTGGCTGGCGATGAAGTTTCCATTTCGATGTTTGGTGACGGAGTTTCAATTTGATTCTTCATACTTTCTGTTTGATTCGATTTCACCTCCATTTTGGAAGGGATGGGTTAGTGTTGGAGTGATAAGATGGGAAGTCTTGTCCTGTGTTTGGTGCACACAGGTACTGAGGTCATGTGTAACTCCCTAAAAGTCAATTAGTATTACCGTCATGTGGTATTATTCTTCACTTATACGTAAAAGATCTTAAGTTCGATTATTGCCAAAGGCAATTCGAACTAAATTATTATGGCTATCTGATTGTAAGGTTAAGCCCACTTCCTCAACCCTTAATGTAAATAATATCATATATGGTAATAAAAAAATTCAAAATCCCGAAACTCATTGTTTCAAATTTTCAATTGAATCAATTGCCAAATCGACTGCAATCGCCATCCATTCGACTCAAGTGGATGAGAGAGAGTGGGACTTTAACACACCAAATAACATCTCCAATATTCTAGTCGATTTCAATTTCTCTAATCATATCATATTCGTGCTGGAAATATTTTTGTGCATTATCTTATTAATTATTATTGGATAAGTTCAATTTAATCTATCTATTTTTTATAAAGAGTACAGTATTAATTGATATAATATAGAAGTCGTACATATGGTAGGATAGGGTGCATATTTACTAGGCCTCGATAAAAAGTCTGTCGGAGATTTCAACTCGGACAAAATTGTACATTAGGCAGTTCCTCGAACCAAACTCGTCTTTGATCTAGAGTAGATCGCAACTGCACCAATCTGTGAGCAACCTTTTTCGACCCTCTCCACATATGCTTGATTCTGGTTTGTGGAATGGAGTGTAGGTAATAACGTGTCTCCTGAATTATAGCTCCCCACAAAGACATATCATCATCCTTTTGAAGAGAGAGCGCAGCAACAACCAAGGCTGCGTCTCCCTCCAATTCGAGCTGATTTTTTCTTTTTTTTGGATAAGTAAAATATATCGATGAGAAAAAGAGAATACAAGTAGCAAAGAGTAGCTAAAAATACAAACAAGCAACAAAAAGCTGTCGCAATAAGAAAAACAGACAACAAAGCTAACATCGAAGCAGCAATAACAAGCACTAACTATTCATAATCATATTTCAATTCGAGCTGATTTGTACCCAGCTCTTGGGCCATCATAAATGCAGCACATTTATAATTTAGGGTAGTGAGCAAATTTTAAAATTTAAACTAATATGATGATAATTAGTATAATAATAAGCATTACCACCATTTATAATTTAAGGTAGTGAGCAAAAATGCACTTAGTCATGCCACCAAACCGTCCAAAGGATCCCAAATGGTTTTGAACCAAACTGCACTCCTAATTGAGCACATTTAACGGTCCAGCTGCATTCCAAACCACTTTGGGATACAAAGACGAATCATATCATACTATTGTCCACTTCCCGAACACCAGGGAAGGGAAGGGATAGTGGAGAAGCCTTGTCTTGTCTTTTTCTTGTATACAAAACAAATACATTCTCCTTTTATAATTATCCGGTACCATTAACTCTGTACGTAATATAATTTAATTAATAAGTGAGATAAAAGGATAGAATGCTAGTGGAGACAGGGGAGGAGATAGTGTTCTCTTGTATACAAAATAGCTCACGTAAGAAATCCACATATTTGAAGTATAAAATGAATAAAAACGTGCTTAGTTCATTTGGAAAGTGATCAAGTCATACACTGAAATAGTTGACAACGACATGTTACAAACTTACAATATATACTTTGTGAATGACGTAAAAATTTCATTATCGGAACTGTTTAATTTCTTAATCTTCATTTAAAGATCATTTGTGTTCTCTTGTATACAAAATAGCTCACGTAAGGAATCCACATATTTGAAGTATAAAATGAATTAAAATGTGCTTAGTTCATTTGGAAAATGATCAAGTCATTGAATACACTGAAATAGTTGACACGGACATGTTACAATATTTATACTTTGTGAATGACGTAAAAATTTCATTATCGGAACTGTTTTATTTCTTAATCTTCATTTAAAGATCATTCATATACAAAATAAGTCAATTCGAATCTAATATCGTTTAGCCATCTAAATATATTAAACAAATTGATGGTTGAATAGCATATTCACCCTTTGGCAGATAACTTGTTTTTACAGTAGTGGTTTCATAATTGTAAATTTTCAGTTGTTAATCATTATCTAAATATATCAAACAAATGAACGGTCCATCGAGAGTATGTTATTTGGCACTAACACTTTTATGTTGTTCTATATATTTGGAAGACTGCAGATCTATGGTTCGAATATTTTCTTTTGTAGGGATCATCTATAAATGATGATAAGAAATTAAACAGTTCTGATTATATTTTTGTATCATGTATAGTTTGATATATCATTTGCTATGGTTTTTCAACCGAAATTAATAAATATTAACTCCAAATCGGCTTGGTTCATCCATTTATATGATTCTTCGATTAGAAATTTAGAAATGTCGAATTCTATTTTGATGTTATCATTGTGTGTCTGAACAACATTACTCGCTGGTAAAATCGGGAGACAGCCCTGTAACTAGTTCATAGTTAGAAGCAGTAAAGAGTGATATCAAAAATATAAAAAAAAGTAGGTCAGTTTATCTCTATGATTTCATTTATTTTCTTATTTGTCGTAATAGGAAGGATCCAGCTCCGACAAGTTGACAAGGAGTCAACAGCCAAAGCTGAA